TTTTTTCATCATGTATTTTGGAGCTCTCTTGTTAGGTATATACACTTTTAGGATTGTTGTGTTTACCTGTTGAAGGAGCACATTTGTCACTATGAAATCTTTCTTTTTATCTCTGATACTAGTCCTCGTCTGAATGTCTACTGTATAATATTCATCTGGCTACACCAGTTTCTTGTGTTTAATACTTGCATGGTATATGTTTTTTCATCCTTTTATTTTCAACCCATCTGTGGCTATATATTTAAAATTTATCTCTTGTAGGCATTTCTTTTCTAATCTATTGTGACAGTTTCTACTTTTTCAAATGTTTTATTCATTTATGTTTCATATAATTATTGATATGGTAGGAGTTAAGTCTGTCATCTCGCAAACTTTTTCCCATTAGTTTGAATCTATTTTTGGTTCCTCTTTTCTTGCCACCTTTTGAGTTCATCAGCTATTTTTATAACATTTTGTATCTTCTGTTGGCTTTTTATATATAAACTCTTTGTAAAAAATTTTAAGTGATTGCTCCAACAGTGTGCATTCTTAATTTATCGCAGTCTACTTTGAATTAATGTTAAACTATACATGTCACATATATAAGAACTTTACAACAGTTTAATTTATATTCTCATTAGTTCTTTGAGTTAATATTCTTTTATTCTATAAATATCATAAACCTCTTATTACAATGAAGTGATTTTTTAAACAGTCATTTGTCTTTTAAGGACATTAACAAAGAAAAAACTAAGATAAGCTAGTGTTTTGTTTTCCCATTAATGTATCACTTCAGTCTTTATTTCTTCTTATAAATATGGGTTTCCCTCTTATATAATTTAGTCTGGGAAATTTCCACAGGTATTTTTTTGCAGTACAGGTCTGCTGGCGATGAGTTCTTTCTGGTTTTATTCATCTGAAAATGTTGTTATTTCAACCCCGTTTTAAGGATAGTTTGCTAACTATAGATTTTTGGGTTAGGAATTTTCTTATTTCAGCCTTTAAATAAATCATTCAATTTTGTGGAATTCCATTTCTTCTTGTTTCCTTGTATATAACATCTTATCTTACTCTGGCTATGGTCAATCAATATTTTCCTTTTGTCTTTTTTGTTTTCCCAGTAATTTGACCACAATCTACCTAACTATGGTCTTCTTTGTATTTATCCTGAACTTTTCTGAGCTACTTGGATTAGGAGATTGATGTTTTCTATCAATTTAGGACATTTTCAAAACCATATTTTTAAATGCATCTTCTACCCCATTCTACTGGTCTTTCCTTCTCAGAACACAAGTAGATGAGTGTTAGACTACTTGATATTACCCTATAGGTTACTGAGGTCCTGTTTGTTTTATTTTTAATCTGTTTTCTCCTCTGTTCTCCTGATTGGTTACATGGATCTTTATTCAGTTTCATCGCAGGATCTTTAGGGTGTCACTTTGCCAGTCAGAAACCTCCACGCGCTTCTGCCTGAGTTTTGCTTCTGGCTGCTGGGCTTCTTCCACCCACTCAGCCTAGCAGGCTTCACCTGGCTTACACTACTGGCCTGGATCCAACACCTGCCAAAGCAAGCCAGGCACGGAGTGGCAAGGGGTATGTTAGCGAGCGCATGCAAAGTCCAGCCACTGTGCACAGCAAGGCACACCAGCTGAGGCAGGGCAGGCAGCTGTGGGTGCAGGCTCCATGCGAGGCTGCAGCTAGACCAGACATACGCAGCTTCCTCTGTGGACACCAGTGTCTGGACAAGGGGAACACATTGGTGCCCAAAAACTTGGAGATACCAGGAAGCACAGAGCCCCAAAGAGGGTTGTACAGCTGTCATAGCTCTAGCTTGGGGAGCCCCAAAGTCTGGGCTCCCAGAAGGGCCACAGCTCCTTCTTCCTTTTTATTACCTATAATGTGGCTTGTTAGGGGTGTGTTTCAACACCGTTTGTGTTACAGCTCTTTTAGTCCCGCCATTCGATGGGTTCTGAGTTCTTGTCCTGTGTCCAGGAAAAATGAAGTACATGGACAACTGGAGGGTGAGCAAGGCACATAGGAGCTTCATTAAGCAACAGAACAGCTCTCAGGAGACCTAAAGCGGGTAGCTCCTTCTGCAGGCAGGTTGTCCCAGTAAGTGTCCAGTTCTCAGTGGAGAGGAGACATGTAGTGGGTAGCTCTTTTCCGCAGGATGGTTATCCTTGTGAGTGTGTGACTCTAGCTGAGTCTGAGGTTTTTATGTGCACAAAATAGAGGGAGTGCGTATTGACTGGTCCATGGGTGGCCATGGACTGCCCTAGAAAAAGCATGATCTGATTGCCCTAACAGTCATCAATGAAGTTCTATGGCCTTCACCCAGAACTGGCAGCATAGACCCCTGGCCTCAGGCTGTCCCTGGCTTGAAGGTGGGGCTTCACCAGGGTCCCATCCCTTCCTTCCTAGGAACCTGTCTGCCTCCCACCACCATCAACATGTTGTCCATGGCACTCAGGCTGTTCACACTGAGGGGCGCCTGCAGATACACACCAAGCTGCCCTTAGCCCCTCGGCTTTTCTCCTATGCTTATTGTTGCCGAAAGTCCTGAAGGGGCTGAGGTGGTGGGAGGCTGGTGTGTCAGTGCCACCCTGAACATGTGCATACCCAGCCAGATTGTGGCAGCACCTGGGCTTGGCCACAACTTTGCTCCACAATGGAGCAGGCACCAGGACCAGGGAGAGGCCAGGGAGTGAGAGGAGGTACTTCTGAGCCTGCATGGGTAGGGGCCTTCCTAGGCTCCTAAGAGCGCAGGGATGCCTGGGTCCAGAGATGCAGCTGGGTGGCTGCAGCTGTCCCTGGGAGGATGGGGCTCTTGCCCTACCATCATGGTAGAGGGTGAGGCTCTTACTTGTTTCCAGCCCTCACTAGCTCTATGGAGCATGCAGCCCCAGCCACACCTCCCCCGCTGCAGCTGGTGTACCCACAGTGGCTGCTGCAGATGGGCCACTGCCGCCATTACTTTGATCCTTATTTTCTATCTCAAATCAGCTTTTAAGCCCATCCAGTGAAATGTATGCTGCTGTACATTTTTAGTTTAGAATTTCCATTTGCTTCTTTTTTATAATTTTCATTTCTCTACTGACGTGTCCTCATTTTTTCATTGGTTGAGATCATATTTTCCTTTAAGCAATTGAGTATATTTGTAATAGCTGATTTAAAGTCCTTATCTGCTAATTTGTACAGCTGGGTTATTTCAAAGGTCTGTATTTTGAGCTTTTAATTTTTTAGTGCCTGAGTTTTATTGTTATTTATAGCAGGAGGGCAAGTCTCATAACATTCTGTTATGTCTGTAATTCTTCTCTGCTTTTGTTTCCCCATTAATTTAGAATCAGAATCTCAAAGGAAAAAGGTTTATCATTACATTCATAATAATTTAATAATGTTGTAGCCATTTAGATTATGGCCAAAAAAAATTCTTTGAATAGAGACTAGGCACAGATACCTAACTGTGTTAGTCTAGTATTATACATCATTATAAGTAAAGTTCTGTTAACCATCTTTGGTCAACTAAATGTTAGTAGTCTAAACTGTAAGTATGATTGGTTTAATCTTGTTTAGAAATCTTTCAAAATGTTTTAGAGGAAGGAACACAGTCCATAAGAAGACCAGAACTCTTGTTCTGTCTTGCATATTTTGTGGCCTTAAGCAAATAAATTAAGCTGGTTATCAATTCAAATGCAGCACAGTATGTGAATGCATCATAAACTGTAAATAAACTACTTTGCAGTTATTGAAAAATATTAGTATACCTTCCTTCTCCATCCTACCTCAGTAAGAAAGGAAAAATAATGGAATCTTTTTTTCTAGACTCTTACAAGGCATTATTTAGAGCATAACCTTTCAAAACCATTTGGTGTAGCTGTAGGGGAGGTACATGACATTGAGCTGGATTTCTTTCTATACTGATTCCAAAGCTTACTATATTAGCAGAAATGTTCAATAAATCTTATATTTGAACTTACTTTGCTAACACTTGGCTCTGTGTTCAAAAAGAAAAGTATAAAAAGAATGATTAATTGAGAATCACAATTAGATGTGGTCCAGTTAATGATATGTTTTTGGTACACATCTCTCCATGTTTATTTTTTTTTTAATTTAATTTTTAACTTTTAAGTTCAAGGGTGCAAGAACAGGTTTGTTAACATAGTTAAATTTGTGTCATGAGGGTTTGTTGTACAGATTATTTCATTATCCAGATGTTAATCCTAGTATCCATTCATTGCTTTTTTCTGATCCATTTCCTCCTTCCACCCTCCTCACTCTAAAAGGCCCCAGTGTCTGTTGTTGTTCTTGATGTGTCCATGTGTTCTCATCATTGAGCTCACACTTATAAGTAAGAATAGCTGCTACTTGGTTTTCTTCCTGTATTGGCTTGCTAAGGATAATGGCCTCCAGCTCCATCTATGTCCATGCAAAGGATATGATCTCATTCTTTTTTTATGGCTGGACAGTATTCCATGGTATATATATATATACACCACATTTTCTTTATCCAATCTATCATTGATGGGTATTTAGATTGATTCCATGTCTTTGCTATTGTGAATAATGCTGCAGTGAACATACGTATACATGTGTCTTTATAATAAAATAATTTATATTTGTTTGGATATATACACAGTAATGGGATTCCTAGGTCGAATGGTATTTCTGTCTTTAGGTCTTTGAGGAATCACCATATTGTTTTCCACAATGGCTGAACTAATTTACACTCCCACCAACAGTGTGAAATAGATCCTTATTCTCCACAACCTCGCCAGCATTTGTCATTTTTTGACAATTAAATTGTGGCCATACTGACTGGTGTTAGATGGTATCTCACTGTGGTTTTGATTTGCATTTCTCTGATGATCAGTGATGTTGAGCTTTTTTTCATGATTGTTGGTTACATGTATGTCTTCTTTTGAAAAGTGCCTGTTCAATCCTTTGCCCACTTTTTAATGGGATTGTTTGCTTTTTCTTGTAAATTTGTTTAAGTGCCTTAGAGATGCTGGAAGTTAGACCTTTGTTGGATGCATAGCTTACAAAAATGTTCTCCCATTCTGTAGGTTGTTTACTCTGTTGATAGTTTCTTTTTCAGCCATGTTTATGTATCAGTTCTTTTAATTTTTTTTATTTTAGAAGCCATAGCAGCAACATCAGCTCTTCAGACATGTATCCAAATAAAAATCTTTTAGCTGGCAGTCACTTAATCAGAAGCTGTAATTATCCAGAACAAAGGCAGGAACCAAAACAAATGAAAGCATTTTAAATAGATGAAAAATATATAATCTAATCTACAATACAACAGCAACACGATAATAGCTAAAGTTTTTTGAGCATTTACTATGAGCTGGACAGTGTTTTGAAGATTTATGCACATTTACATTTAATCTTCACAGCAACCCTATGAAGTCGGTACTCCTATGTGATACAATTAGAATATTAGAACTTTTTGCTGTTGTTCTATGTGGTCATTGTTAATGTTTGGAAACATTCCAGGTACTGCTTTGTTTTACCAGTTCCTCTGTCTATTACAGCTTTGTTCCCTCTCTTTGGCCATTTTAAAAGATTTAAATAAAATTTCTGTACTCTGTCAAACCTCCTATTGATCATACAACAAAGACAGAATTAATTAATTGATCATGCTGTTATACTCCTAGGACAGTTGTAAATACCAGTAGCATTTGTTACATAGTATCAGTATCAAGTGTTTTACCTGTTAGATTGTGTGTGTGTGTGTGTGTGTGTGTGTGCGCGCGCGTGTGCGCGCGCGCTCAAAACTTTGATCTTCCCTGAGGCTAAGGACTGCACCTTCCTTAATTTTATTCCTCTGAGATTACTATCAAGCCTGGCATATAGTAGATATATATTTCCATATACACCAATGAACGAGTGGAAGAGAGAAAAAAGATAGAGATAAGGAAAAGTGAAAAGAGACAAAGAGAAATTTGAAAATTCAGATGCCTCTTTTGAGATGTACCACAATCTTGCAGAGTTTGAACATGTTATTTTAGAGGGAAAACTTTTATTTTAATTGAACAAAAGGAGAATTTATATTTTAGCAGGGATATTGTATTTCTAAAGCAATGTAAGGCATTACAAGGATATTAATGATTTGTAAGAACGTGGAGATGAATCTGGAGGCAAGGGAGAACCAGGGAGAACTTTTCGCTTTGTTTTGGGTTGAAGAAAAATTGATCTTCCATGTACATTAGTGGAAATGTAGTTAGGGAAGTACAAATACAGGAGGAACTAAAGTAGGAGCAAACAATTTGAAGGGAGTATAATCAGAGAAGAAAAACGAGAGCTATACTGTTTTTCGTTGAACAATCCAAGAACAAGATGATAGGAAATAAGATAGGGAAACGTGCTTACAGAAAAGAGAAGTCTAAAGCAGGTCAATCTGCTGCTAAGGGATTTCAGCCCAGCAAATGCACACATTAAGAATAATGCCAGAATATAGCAAAGTGGCTTTATCTTTCGGTAGCGGTGGACTGTTCGCACACACGCAACAGCTAACAAGCTGTGCTCTGAAGTTATTCTAGACCTTATCTTTGGAAATAATGCAGGCATGATAAATAGGTTGGAGTAGAAAAGCACTAAAGATGCAATCATAATGTCATCAGGTTTGAATTGCTGATGAAGATCTGTGGGAAGAGAACTAACACAAAAATATGGGGCTTGAGAAAAGCAGACCTTGAAGGAATGCAAAATGAGTTTTGAACTTGGCTGGAATTTTGCAACGTGTAGAAAATGAAACATGAAAAAGGTAGCATCCTGGGAGGGAACATTCAAAATTCAACCCAATAAGATCAAAGTAATACAGAAACAATGAGAGGAAGCAGAGAAATAAGAGAATATAGGGGAAGCCATTAAAAAATAAAATAAAGGGGAAAAGTAGTGGGAAACTTGCTATGACTGAACGAAACCAAAACACTAAAACAAATGCAGTTATTAATAGCAAATTAGTATCTAAGATTTTTTTCTAAAGATTGTTGCGAGTCACACAGGTCCCTCATCTTAGGCTGCGAGCCTTTGTATAGTCAAGGAGTATTGATCCCGATGGCACATCTAGACTCCTGTGGTGTTGTGGCCTTTTTTTTTTTTTTTTTAAATAAGATCTTGCCTTTCATAGGAAAAAGCATTTAATTTATGAAAAGTCATGGTACAACTGAAAGTTCATCACTGGGGAAAGCATAAGACCATAGTTTGTATTGGGTTAACAGTTAAAAGATTTAAAGTGTAAATGTATTTACAGCTTCTTAAACTAGCCCTGGAAATTAGACTACTTATAGGGTGAAAACTGAATAACTTGCTATCTCATCCATGGAGTAGATTTAAATTCAAGTCTCCAGGTAAAAGTTTTATAAAGCTTACCCCCACCTGGCCCCTCGCCGTCCTTTGTTGAGTGGGAAACACAGAGCCCTACAGAGGAAAGAAGTTCTATTTTCTGGCTTCCCAGCAATGCAGGAACTACTGATGGTATATTTTGGCATATGCATATCCTTTTAAAGAAAAGGTTGAGTATATGACATACATTAAAACATAAGCTGTATTCTTTGTTTCTTCATAGCTGGGCTTCTGCAAAGAAAGAAAAAGTTTGTAAGCTTAGTTTTTGATGTGGCATGTATGCTGGTCTGTGTAAAATTTTACTGTATGAAATTGTGAAAAATGTAGCCCAACTTATTCCAAAAATCACAGAACTGCTTCCTGCAGACCTAACATGCCTAGAAAAATTCATAGGTGCGAAGGCTGGTACATAGTAAGTACTTAGGACACGCTTACTGATAGATTCAGGTATCACACATATATGTACAGGGGCATCAATAGATATATTTGTAATCAACATGTATAAAAACCAATTTTTAAATAAAGCTATATTTTCCCATTAAACATTAAGGGATTTTATTTTCTAAGTGAAATTCTGGCATATGACAAAGAGGCTAGACCTGTGTTCATATGTCTGAGATTCTGTGATTCCTTTATCTGTAATTCCTAACATTTTAACTTTTGGCTATTTATTCCTTAATTTCTGTGCCACATTGTTACTGATCTATTAGAAAATGCTTAAAATGGTGGGAAATCGGAATCCTTGAATGGATCCGTCAGTGTATTGTTCCAGGTAGTTGCTTGATTATACATATTTATTGAATGAATAAATGAAAAAAGAGTAATAAATCTTGTGAAGTTGGTAGTTTTATAAATTCTTTCTGTAGTAATACCAATAGGGAAGGAGGGAGGAGAGGTATCTTACTATCATTTAGTAGATGAAAACCTGAAGCTCAGAAGTTGAGTAGACCAAGGCCACACATTGAGTAAGTGGCAGAATTTTCTGAAGGACTTTTGGCTATAAACTCCATGCTTTTATTAATGCACAATCCTGCTCTCTATCCTGCAGTTGATCTTCAGATAATATGTATAAGTTGTGTTTAACTTGTGGAGGCACAGATGTGTTTCCAGAGGCCCTGAATGTGATTGTATGTTGCACTTTACTTTTCTATTGAGGGCAAGAAAAGGAAGACATTAGAGAGGCAAGGTGTTTGCAGAAATTTATAGGGGGTGAAATCAATATAAAAGAGAAAAATGACAGCAAGCCCAGGGCCACCTGCCTATGATAGGCCCACAGTAACTTCTTGCTGAAAAGAAAAGGTAGGGTGGGTGCCCAGAGCTAAAGGATCTTTTCTCAGGCAGCTTCCACTGCTTTTTTTGTGTTTACCTACTCTGTTGGTGTTTCTGTAGTGATGCACTTAGAAAATTACCCAGGGTTATGATACAACTGCCACTTGTTTTCTAGATTCTCTTACCTAGCGTGCTGAGACACCAGCTTAGGAAGTGACAAGAAAAGCATATCTTTCTCTTTTCCACCTGATGGAGGAGTAGGAGAGATGTCAAAGCTGAAGGCAGTCTGAGAATGAAGGAACAGAGTAGGGAAGATGGAGGTTTTTGGGAGAACGGAAGTGGTATCAGAATATTTAGAGGGAAGTTACAGCACAGAATGAGATGAATTGAACCCTTCTTATGAAGAGTGGTTGGAAAGAAGTGGACATCTAATTAGGAAGAGGAATCTTTGTGGCTGTAATATTATGTTCAAACACTTGGAAGATTCTCCTGATAAAGGAAGATTTTTCTCTGTTAGCTCAAAGTAGTAGGACTAAGACCAGCTTTTAGACATTGTGGGAAGATGGCTTTCTAGCTAGTTATTATAGGAAGAATTTTGTCAGTGCCTGAATCACCCAGAAATTGGGTGTGCCACATCAGGAGATAGATGTTCTAAGCACAGGCTGAATGAGCCTGATGGAGCTACACTAAGGCATGTGATACTCAGCAAACATTAGCAAGGCCTTCTTTTTCAGGATTAATGTGATTCTATGCAGTAGAAGAGAAAATCATTTTATATGCAGACACACACTAGGACATGCCTACTGATAGATTCAGGTATCACACATGCGTGTGTGTGTGTGTGTGTGTGTGTGTGTGTGTGTGTAACTTAAGAGTAGATTACAATCTAGTATACACAGAGCCCCAAAATGCAGAAAACGTGGGAAAAGAGGAGTGTGTTAGTTTCCTAGGCCTGTTGTAACAGTACCACAAACTAGATGGCTTTAAGCAACAGAAATGTATTCTTATGGTTCTGAAGGCCAGAAGCCTGCAGTCAGGGTGTCAGCAGGCCTGTGTTCCCTTTGAAACCTGTAGGCAAGTTGTTCTTGCCTATTCTGGCTTCTGGTGTTTGCCATCAGTGCTTGACATACCTTGGCTTTACATGTATCTATCACTCCAGTCTCTGCCTCTGTCACTAGATGGCCATCTTCCCTCTGTGTGTCTCTTTATCTCTTCTCTTCTTATAAGGATACCAGTAATGTAATGGCCCACCTTAGTCAGTATGACCTTATCTTAACTAATGACAACTTCGATGGCCCTCTTTCCAAATAAGTTCTCTTTCTGAAGTATGGGGGGTGTGAGATTTTGACATTGCTTTTTTGGGGATATAATTCAAAGCAAGGAGAAATAGTATTCTTGCTCTGTGATCTTATTATTTTCTGTTAGGAAGACCTGAAGAAGTTAGAGAAAAATATTTTGACTCAAACCCAGCAAACTCGAATTCAGGTACAAAAGATTGATTTTTCCCTCTCACCAATGTTGGATGGTTTTGTGGATAGGGGAAATCTAGTAGATATTAAATATTTTTATCTGCAAAAAGCATTTGGTAAGGTTCTCAATGGGAGATTAATGGCTAACATAAAGAATGAGGCATTAGGAGATAAATTTGCTTATGAGCAAGAGACAGATACTAACAGTAGAAGGAAATACTTTTTAGATTGGAAAGGAGTGACATATAGCACAAGCCAGGAATCAGTTTTGGGACCTATGGGTTTTTCACTTTATTTTTATTGGACTTTGTAATAAAAATACAGATCTTCAAACAGTCCAAGACAGAGTGAGTAATACTACAAGCATCAGTAATCAAAAGTTATTCTCTATCATAAACTAAATGACTGATAATAAATACTGACACAAGACTACACAATGTACCATAATATTATAAAATGGAGCAGGCAATTCTCCTGTGTTCTCTTTTCTTCTGCATGGGTGAATATTTCTTTATTTGCTTTTTAAAAAAATTTTTTGCAGGTTTCTAGGATTATATTGTAGGTCAAATGAATAGAAAAAAATGATTTTTTTTTTTAAATTTGGAAAGATGTGATAATAGGAAAAAATCGGTTGAAGCAAGACAAAGGTTATATTGCCATCACTAGGCTAAAGAAATTAGGGGCCCTGTGTGTTAAATTGCTCAATGAGCGGTTCGGTGAAAATACTTGAGTGAGGGGGCATTCTTGAAATCATCAGCTTACTCTGCAGTCATGACTTTAATGGAAGCATATGCAGAAAGTCATTGTTAGAATAAGGAAACTACATATCTGAAGAGAGGGAAGTATAGCATGGAACTTTTTTCTCTTCTTTTTAAAAATGTTAACGTGGCTGTAAAAACGTCCATAAAATCTATTGATTGTATATGTAACGTTTAGTCTGCCCAGCAGCTAATAAATTATGTGGAGAACATACTTTTCAGATTGAACTTTTTCTGTCACTGCTTTTGTCAAAATCACTAAAAGGTGTTTACAAATTCATTGCCATTTCCCCATTATTTGTACATTGTCAGATATAAGCCAAGAGAAACAGAACAAATAAACGTTCAAAAGTTGACTCAGAGAAATTGTAAATGTTTAGAAAATTATAAAGATTATAAAGTACAAAGAAGCTTCATTAACCTCAAACCTCTCATTTTGCAGGTGAGAAAACCAAGATCCAGAAAGGTCAAATTCATAAGAAATTTGCCCAAAGACAAATAACTTAAGTCAAAATAGAGTCTAGAACAGGGTTCTCAACCTGGGCTGCACATAAGAGTTTCCTGAAGAGCTTCTTTAATGAACTATTGCAATGATCTTCCTACCAGAGATTCTGATTTCAGGGTTCATGAACGGAGCCAAGGAAATTCATACTTTTAAAAGCATGCATTTTAAAACTTCTCTAGGTGCTTCTGCTATGTGAGCAGGAATGAGAACCTCTGATCTAGGATCTAGCTTTCCTGATGTTAACACAGGAAGTCTTTCAACTCATATTTGGAGTTCAGAACTTCAGATTCTGAGGTAGGAAGCACCTTTAGCATAGACAGTCCACAGTTAACAAACCAATCGTTCTAGTAATTTTCATTGTAGTGTGCTTATTTGGATCACCAAACCTGAATTCCCAAATAAACAAGGCGGTACATTGTTGTTTGGTCTTTAGGGCAGCCTCGAGATTAGTGTACAGAATAACTGAAATGTAGCCCTGTGTCAGTAGCACTATAGATCCTAACCAACACATGTATAGTGTTTTTCTAAGAACAAGAATTTAAATTTTTAATTTCAGTTCCTCAGAACATTTTGAATTCTTCCACTGTTTTGATGGTGGTATGAAGATTTTTCCTCCTTTCATCTTCAACATATTAAATTTAGGATTTGAATAGGGAGTTCCCCAATTCCAAATTTGTTGGGGAATGGGAGGAAATGAAGGACGGAGGGATGGTGAGGGCCAGAGGGAAGACTGAGGCACTGTGGGATAGAGGAGGAGGCCTGTCAAGAACAGAAGGGCCAGCATCCTCTGCCATCAATGCCTGGGGACATTTCTTTCCCTCGAATGGGTTCATCCAGTAAGTATTTAATGAAGGCATAATGTTGATCAGATACTATTCTAGGTATTGGAGAAGGATTAGAAGAAAGAAGAGAGAGAGAAAAGTAAGCATGACATAGCTCCTGGCCTTTAAAAAAGTGACATTATCTCTTAGTGTGGTGAAGAAGTGAAAAATAGGGTTTATGATTTGTCATTTTTGGATGATGTGGGGACACGTTTTCCAAGCACTGCAGGAACACAGCTAATCTCTGGAGGAATCATAGAAGGTTTCATAAAGCGACTGGCATTTGTATAGGAGTCATTAGGTGCAGATACAGAGAAAGGCATTTCAGGTGGAGAATCACTGGCTGTTTTATACAGAGATGTGAAAAAAAACATGTCATGGTGAGAAAGCTGGTCTGGTTGGGGTGGAGACTGAATGGAAAGTGGCAGGAGAGGTGGAAATGAAGCTAGTAAATAGCTTGGAGTTTAAGTTCATGCTAAGAAATTGAAGTTTCCTGTTTGGGGGTACAGGAAGTTTTTAGCTTGAGGAATGAATAATCTGAGTAACTCATTCATCCATTTATTCATTCAGTCGTTAGGATTTATTGGAAGTTTGCTGCATGTCAGACACAGGATGACAAAGATTATTATGACACCCTCAATCCAGATACTTTGTAGAAGGGGAGCAATGATCAGATTTTCATTTTAGGGACATCACCTTTGGGCAATGTGTTTAGGCTGGAGACAGGAAAGCCATTAGGAAGCCATGATAACACTCCAGCTGACTCAGGAGCTGCTGAACTGAGGCAGTGTGGTGGGGATGAAGGAGGTTTGTTGTCTGTGGGATGTATTGGGGGGCAGATTTGATAGTGCTTGGTGAGTGATTGCATGCTGAGTAGGGAAGGGGAGGGCAGACTCAACTCCTAATGGTGCCATTTGTCACAATAGGGAATTTCAGAGGAGGAAGTCTTTTTCCTAGCCCAGGAATCAGTGCTTCTGTTTCCATTTATTAGACCTGCACCCATTCATCCTATTATTGGTTTATTGCACAACATAGCATAGTCTCACCACTTTTCCTCTCCTTTTCTGTTCTTACAACAAGGAAAAAAATACTAATGTTTTAAAGGAAATCTGATTAAGGCTATGAAGGTAAAATGATGGGTATTTTTTGGTTTAGAAATCATTAGCAAAATAAAACATGTAAATCAAAATGAGGAACTAATACATTTGTTTTAGTGATTCAGGAGGAAAAGGAAATTCATGATTTTACTTGAATTATCAGGATGATGCTTTCCTTTACCAGTGACCCAAGAATGAGTGTTATAGTATGCTTTTTGTAAAATATTTATCACCAACTGGGGCATTGAAAGTAAGTTTCCTATGTTACACAGCTGCTAAATTGGGCAGGGACAACAGAGAAGGCACTGAATAGTCAATGAAATTGGAAAGAATTTAGATCATCCGTGTCACACAAAGCCAGCAAAGGCTGTTTGTAGAATGTTAGCTGCTATCACACTGGCTTGAGATTAACATTCTAGTGAATAATTAAAATATTCCTGTTTATTTTTTAATAAAAAGAAAAAGCATATATGTTACCTCAGAGTCTGTAATGATACCTGTAGTTGCATCCATCAGATGTTGAGGTTTTTTTTTTTTTTTTTTTTAACTAGGATTGTAGAGTAGATAACTTAGACAATTAAAAAGCAGATTTTTTTCTGCCTTTTTCTGCATCCTTATTTTACAATATTCAGTATTACAATGTCGTTCAAAAATATAAAAATCCTTAAAACTGCTCTGAGACATTTTCATTGTAATCAGTATTTTCTAAATGGAGTGGCTATTAAATATATTTTTCTGCTGAAATTATTTTTGAAGTACATGTATCATTTTCATTTTCTGTCCTTAAGTGCATACCCAGGCATAGATGATATTCTATTTCTTCCTGCTAAAATTCAGGCTCCCCTTAGAGGATGGGTCAATAGGTACAAGCAAACTATCATGGCACATGTATACCTATGTAACAAACTTGCACATTCTGCACATGTATCCCGTTTTTTTTTTTTTGTTGTTGTTGTTGTTGTTTTTTTTTAATAAGAAATTTTAAAAAAAAGAAAACCAAGTCAGCTCCCATGAGATGATCAGGTACTTCTTTGTAATTGAAAAAACTTTTCAGTTACACCCACCCCTTTCTACTAATTGTTTTCTTTGGTTGTTCCTTCAGGGCTAGAGTGGAAAAGTTCGGTGTTTTATTCAAGACAATTGACTCAGAGAAAAGAAAAACTCACAGAGAGACCAGAAAGAGATTTGTGCTCAGAACAGAGAGTAACATAGGCTTTTGTGGAGCCATGGTCTTTGGTCTGTGTAATGTGTTTGATGTTCTGCAAGGTGGTCAGTTTCTGGAGTGACTAGACCCCACCCATTTCTGGAGAATCTGCCTCAATTTATATCCATTGGATAGTAGTGACAGGCTTAGTAGAGTAATTGAAATAAAATTTTAACTGAGGAAGGACAAGAATAGAGCAAATGGTATCAGAGGTGATGGGCGGGGTCATGAGTTAGGAGAATGCTAAGACCAAATGCCTCTGTCTCCTCCTTCCCCGAGTCAGAAGCAGCCGGCACACTAGAGGAAGCAGCATTTTGCTGGGGACTTTGTTTAGAATTCAGGTGCTTGGGACCTTAGAAAGGAAACAAACCCCAATGTGGACTTTTCAGACAAAATATTGCTTCTTTTGCCTAGTCAAGTAAAATTAGGATAATGATTATCAGGCACTTTGTAACAGCAAGGTTATTCTTAACTCCAAAGTTAAGGTGATTCTAAACTCTAAATTGTTTGCTAGAGAAATTACAAAGGCAGAAAGAAGTACCAGATAGGACCCAATATGTACAACCTTTAGTTAAATTTGACTCTTATCTGTGACCAGGAACTAGCAAGAATTGTGGCAGAGAAATTAAGAATACCCTTGCTCCTCACAGCTGCCCTACAGGATTTTTCCTTTTTCTCCTTTTTTTAAGTTTTAATTTTTATTTATTAAAATTGTACATATTTATGGCATACAGTGACATTTTGATATACATTGTGAAATAATTACTATAGTCACATACCCATCTACTCACATGGCTAACGTGTGTGTGTGTATGTGCGTGTGTGTGTGTGTGTGTGTGTGTGTGTGTGTGTGTGTGTGTGTGTGTTGTAAGAACCACACAAATCCTCTCAGGAAACTCCGGGTATACAATATAACATTACTAATGAGAGTGCCCATGCTATACATCCTCTTCTCTTATTTCCTTAGCAAGTTGCCACCTAGGACTCTTCTTTACCTTTTGTTTTTTTGAGACAGAGTTTTGTTCTTGTTGCCCAGGCTGGAGTATAGTGGCGTGATCTCAGCTCACCACAGCCTCCGCCTGCTGGGTTCAAGTGATTCTCCTGCCTCAGCCTCCCAAGTAGCTGGGATTACAGGCACACACCATACCACAATCAGCTAATTTTGTATTTTTAGTAGAGATGGGGTTTCTCCATGTTGGTCAGGCTGGTCTCAAACTCCTGACCTCAGGTCATCTGCCTGCCTCGGCCTCCCAAAGTGTTAGGATTATAGGCGTGAGCCACCATACCCGGCCTTTTACCTCTTCTGAGCCTCCACTTTGTCTTAGGGCAGTAGCACAGTTCTTTTCTCTTCCCTACAAATGTTCTCCTAGGCCCAGTGCCAGTTTCTTGGCTGTGTCCTCCTTCTTCGTGTCATCTCTTTTTTTAATCTCCTTCCCTGCCCCGGCTCTGTGCTGAGAGACAGTTGATTTTTGATTCATTCTGAAATATAAAGGAGAGTTGATTTTTGATTCATTCTGAAATATAAAGGACCTAATTGTAGTCTTTGAAATATTTAAGACCCACTCTTTAGGCTCCTACCCCTTATCACCACAAACTGGGTGCCATAAACAACAGAAATTTAGCTGAGAGTTCTAGAAGTTAGAAGTCTGAGATAAGGTAGGGCTAGTTCCTTCCCAGGGCTCTGAGGAAGAACCCCTTCTGTGGCTCTCTCCTTGTTTCCCGTGGATTGTTGGCAACCTTTGGTGTTTCTTGGCTTGTAGAAGTCTCACCCCAATTTCTGCCTTTGTGATCCTCTGGGGTTCTTCATGTTGTATGTCTGTCTCTTCACCTCATGTTCTCTTTATAGGGACACTAATCAGATTGCAGTAGGAGCCTACCCTACGCCATTATGACCTCATATTGTCTAATTATATCTTCAAGCGCCCCAGTTCCATATAAGGTCACATTCTTACATGCTGGGGACTAGGGTTTCCACATAGGAATTTTGGGGATTCCAGTTCAATCCACAACAAGTGAGTTCAAAATGAGGAAAGCAAAACTGGAGTTTAGGAGGAATCTTTTTGGCTCATTTTGCTTATGTGCCTAAGGTCTGAGTGCTTGTTTTAGGTGAGAGAGAAGCTGTAAGGTAATATTTCTCTACTGCTGTGGGCTAGATGCCAGCTAAAAACAACTGCTGGGGGCAGTGGAAAGGGAAGTAGACTGAAGGGTTGATGGAAGAAAAACAGCTGGGTCTGCACTTGGGGGAGTGCCAGGAAGCAAGAATGTCAATTTCTGGCTTATGAGGGTGAAGTAGTCCTAGTTAGTTGTGTCCGAGAAGCTCCCAGCTTCCATAACGCCTCACTACCCCTTCCCTCAACAACCCTCTTTGCATCACCATCTTGAGATTCCTTATCTGAATTTAAACTCCATTTCTAATTTAAAGCTCTGAGGAACTCCATCCCCAACTTGGAAGATGAGAGAGGTGTTCTGGGTTGTAGAGATAGCCAGTGAGATGCATCCTGACCTTCCTCTGTTTCCTAAAACATCATTGTGAAGAATGCTTAGAGGGGGTTGGCAGGGCTATTCCTTAGGTGCAGTAAGAGTAAAACATGCTCATGAAATCTGGAAAAGTACACTGATTTCCAGCCAGCTCGAATTTACAAACTTTTGGAATGCAATCTATTTCTAGGTTGGAGAATTACATTATTAAACTGCTCAATTTAATAATTAGAGGTGGAAAATATAATTGGTTTATCTTTGTGGTCAGATAGCAGTTTTATATATATAGATAATTTGAATCTGAATGTACAGCCAAGCATTCAAAATATAAATAGATGCAGAGAAAAAATTAAAACCACATATAATTCCCTCAGAGACCCTACATAAGGCAAAAGGAACCACTGCAGAAAAGAAAAACCCAACTCCTCCCTAACAATCTTGTTCTCCCACCAAATCTTGTTTCTTTGATTTATAAATCTAGAAGCCTCATGCTTTCTGAAATCCTTAATAAAAAATGACTTTAAATGCCACAATTCTTGAGTTTTCTTCATTCATTGGGAAAAATTAAAGCTAAAAAGGAAAATAGGTGTCCCAGTACTTTCTGACAAAAGAAAGAAAAGGGCTAAGTGTTGGGAAAAGCAGCAAAGGAGAAAGGACTTACAGAGTGCCTACATAAATTGGTATGAGTAACACATAAACAAGGAACAACAAACTGCGGAACACCGCAGCAGGCCTCTGAGGAGGAAGGCTTCTCCATGCCTCGTGTTCCCGTGCAGGGTGTCCTCGGCTCTGTCACCGTAAACATTGTGCTCAAGGACATAAAACCCCTTTGTAGCACTATGATGTAGCCAGACTTGTAGGCTCCTTGTAAGGCCTGAGTTCTACCAGCTGCGCATAGATAATAGCTTAAAGATAACCACATGTTCTTGTTTTGTGAAACTCCCAGGCAGCCACTGTTACCAATCCTTAGAATGACACAGTTCCGGCTCACTGATTCACTCCGCCATCACTCCACCCCTACCCTATAAATCAAAGTGATTGTAATCAATAAATAGCGTAAACGATCAGAGCTGGGGCCTTCACTGTTTCCTCCAGAGTAATAAAGTGATGGCCCCCTGGTCCCACTGTTTTTCTTAATCTGCCTTTTTCTCATTCCTTTGTCGCCACCAAACTTGGGGTACCCATGGGTGATGTAGGGCTGGCTCCCTACATTCTGGTGCCCAACGTGGGGCTCAGGGATCCCTACATTCTGGCACCCAGTGGGTGGGGCTCATGGATTCCCAACACTAACCACCTTCCTAAATGTTTAATAGTAATCACATTAACTTATTAAATTGTATGCCCTCTTAAAAAACAAGAGGGTGTTTGCACATGTATCCTTTGTACAATGACAACAAATGACTTAATGGGGCTTTGGTTCTTTGTTACATTTTTATTTCAAAAACCAAGGTGGATTATGTTTATTACATTTTTTAAAGAATTTAAGAAAATCCTACTATAAACTAAGAGATACCTTGGGAGTTTCCAAAATACCTTAGGAACCATTGATTTATAAAGATCGTCTGCATATGTGTGTTTCTTAGTGCAAGGAGTTAGAAAACTTTTGATAATTTAATGGGATTTATGAACCTATTTTAAGAGCTAGAGTCTGTGAATAACTAGATAAAGAAGAAACAGAGTAACTGAGGATTTGGTTTTATGCCCTGTAGAGTTCAAATTAAATTTGACTAAAAGGCAGTTTAAAAGATTAACTTCTCTTTCCTTTCATGCAGTCTACTTCAGAACTAGTCATCATAATGAACTCAAAAGACATGCCCTGGAATGATTAGGAATAGTAGAAAAGTTAGTGTCAGAACTGAAAAGGGCCAAGTCCAGTGGCTCATGCCTGTAATTCCAGTGCTTTGGGGAGGCTGAGGTGCGAGGATTGCTGGAGGCCAGGAGTTTGAGACCAGCCTGGGCAATGTAGGAAGACTCTGTC